CGTGTCTCGTTCGTTTATTTTAGTATTTATCGTACAAAAGTACACAGGCACCTACTAGTAGTAAGAATCCTTAGCCCCGAACACACCATGTACTTATATATATATATATATATATATATATATATATACTACTACTACTACTAAAAAGTAAGTATCCTGACAATCAGGAAGTGATTTTAGTTTATTCACTGACTTTCTATTAGACTAGTCTTAATATAAAAAAGGATAATTTAACATTTGTATTAAATTTCCCACTGATATTACTGTAAAAAAGGCTTCTGTTTAGCCTTATATGAAATACATTGTTTATCTTTTTCACTCAACGGATATCACATTGGTAACCAGGAACAGATGTGTTTGATAAAAAAATATATATCATCCTTTGAAATGATTTGTGAAATAATCGGCAACGATTACTTTATTATTCGCAATCAGAAGCAACCTATTTTAATGTCTATGATTCTTATAAATAGAAAAACATTTTTAGGAGTGAAACCACGATGATGAAAATTCTGATGGCCACAACGTCCAAATGCCTGGCATGGCCTGTTGGTTACAAACCTTCACTCACAATCTGCGGGTCTCTGAATGGAAAACAGTCGCCCTTTCGTCAGTAGGAACGTTATAATGTGACGGACAATCCCACTATTCGTTGGCAAAGAGTTGGCAGTGGAAGATGTTGACTGGCTGCCTTCCCTTTAATCTATCACTTCGAAACTAAAGATGGCTAGTGCAGATTGCCCTCTAGAAGGTTTACGCAAAATTCAACGCACAAAGAAAACTATCTGTTGTCTCCCACAAGTCACTAACTAGGAGACCTTTTGTACAATATCTGAACTCGTCACTGGGCAGGATAATAATAGACAAAGTTCACGTGACACATCTTTATGTTTTTGGTGAAGATCGAATAAAAAATTGGGATTAATTCTATATAATAAAAAAAAGTAACGTATGCGCGTGCATGGGAATTTTTTAAAACTAAATTAAGCCGTATAAAAATTAAATTAGGAGTAGAGAAGCACGGAAGACGTCACCATATGCATGAGAGAGGGGTGGGTGTAGATAGTACTATGCGTTGCGAAGGGAAAGGTATTTGGGGGATGGATTTTTCATCCCATAGACTCTTATCTTAGAGAGCAGTTAAAGTTTTATGTGTGAAACTCTTCATTTGTTTATAGACACTTATAGTACCGGTACCCCAGGATCACGGTACCGGTTCTATAAGATGTGTGATACCCACCAAACATTTAAAAATCTGGGTACCGTGGTGAAGTATTAAAACTCTGTGACATTGCTCCCAGTCCCAATTCAACAATTAAGATGTGTGATACCCACCAAACATTTAAAAATCTGGGTACCGTGGTGAAGTATTAAAACTCTGTGACATTGCTCCCAGTCCCAATTCAAGTACCGTGATCCTGCTGAATTTGGACTGGGAGCAATGTCACAGAGTTTTAATACTTCACCACGGTACCCAGATTTTTAAATGTTTGGTGGGTATCACGTGTTGTGGAATGGGTAGTTACACATCTGGTTCATCAGATTCGTTCAGAATTC